TAAAGTTTTCCCTGGAGTTGTTATTTGCCTTATATTTCCATGTGTTTAATATTAGATGTAGCTATCTCTAATTCTTCCTTAACACTATACCAGAAATTCAAATCTTTTAAAAAAATATTCAAATATACTATTTGTCCTCTATCACCTTCCTACTCTAATAATGTTTTCCCAAACCTGATAAACAGTTGTCATCCCAGAATTTATCTCCTCAACTCTGAGAATCCTCTTCATTTATCTCCTGTATTAGCTTAGGATTTTTCATTTCCTGTATCTTGTATTTTCCTTTTACTTAGTACAGAACACATCCTTCAGTGGTTAAGTAAGAAATGGTGCATAGTAGCTAAATTTTTTGAGGAATTGTATCTTTAAATAATGTCTATATTTGTTTCCAACTGACATTATCAGTGGATGTAAAATTATATATTAGAATTCACTTTTCCCTCAGAATATTTTAACTGTTGAGTTATTTTATTTTAGCTTCTCTTTCTGGTGAGAGGTCTGATATAGTTTTGAGTCCAGTCCTTTTAGTACACTTTCAGTTTAAACACTGGTGCTCTTCAGTTTGGGGACATTTTATAGACATTTTAACTAGTTATCTAGTTTTGTTTTCTCTTTTTGGAAACGCTGTTATTCAGGTACTGGATTACTTGGCCAGGTTTTCTAATTTTCTCATTTCTACCTTCCTATATTTTATATCTTGTTGTTTGTATTTTAATTTCTGGATGTTCACTCCTATTTATCTTATGTAAAAAAATTTTTCTTATTGTGGTAAAAAACAAACATAAAATTATCACTGTAACCATTTTTAAATATACAGTACAGTAGTGTTAACCATAGGAACAGTGCTGTGCAACATTTCTGTAGAAGTTTTTCATCTTGCAATATTGAAACTCTAGACCATTTGAGTGACTCCCTTAGTTCTCCTCCTCCAGCCCCTGACAACCACTATTATACTTTCTATTTCTAAGAGTTTGACTATTTGAGATGCCTTATGTAGTGGAATCATGCAGTATTTGTCTTTTTGTGACTGGCTTATTTCATTTAGCATATTATCCTCAAGTTTCATTCATATTGTAGAATACAACAGGATTTCCTTCCTTTCTAGGGTTAAGTAATATTCCATTGTATGTATATGCCACATTTTCTTTTTCTATTCATCCATCAATGAACATTTAGGTTGCTTCTACCTCTTGGTTATTTGAAATAATGCTGAAATGAACATGAGTGTACAAATATCTGAAATCCTATTTTCTGTTCTTTGGATATATACCTGAGAAATGTGATTGCTAGATCATACATTTATTCTGTTTTTGATTTTTTGTGAAATCGTTATACTGTTTTCCATAGCATTTGCATTTCACATTTCCATTAACAGTGTAAAAGGGTTTCAATTTCTGTGCATCTTTGCCCACACTTGTGTTTTGGTTTGGTTTTAGATTGTGGGTACCCTAATAGGTGTGAGGTGACATCTCATTGTGTCAAATTGAGGTATTTCAGTTTGATTTCATTTCCCTAATGATTAGTAATATTGAGCATCTTTTCATATTGTTGTTGGTACTCTGTACACTTTTTCAGGAGAAATGTCTATTGAAGTCCTTCACCTATTTTTAAAGTGAGTTACTTGGTTTTTGATTGTTGTAGAATTGTCGTTATTTATATATTCTGTATATTAATAGCTGATCAGAGATAGGGCTTGAAAATATTTTATTTCATTCCATAGGTTGCCTTTTTACTTTGTTGATTGTTTCCTTTGCTGTACAGAAGTTATTAAATTTATTGTAGTTTGTCTATTTTTGCTTTTTTGACTATACTTTTGATATGAGATCCAAAAAATCCAATATCATAATGATTTTGCCCCATGTTCTCTTTTAGACATTTTATAGTTTCAGATATTTCATTTAGGGGTTTATCCATTTTGTGTTAATATTTTTATATCATGTGAGGTAAGGTCTAACTTCATTCTTTTACATGGTATCCAGTTTTCCAACACCATTTGTTGAAGAGACTGTCCTTTACCCATTGTACAACCTTGGCACCCTTGCCAAAGATCATTTGGCTATATATATATATATATATGCTCCTGTCTATTCTGCTTTACTGGTCTATATGTCAGTCTTTATGTCAGTACCATACTATTTTGATTACTATAGCTTCATAATATGTATTGAAAACAGTACATACAGGGCCTTCAAGTTTGTTTTTCTTTCTCAAGATTGTTTTGGCAATTTGGAGTTCTTCAAGACATTGTTCTGTAGAGATAGGGGCTGTAGGGGTAAGTATACTTTTCAAAGGTAGACTTTCACATAACTCTATGTTTTGCTATAGCTTCTTTACCCTCAGCTGATGTGGGTGGTCCTATATCCAGGGTTCCTTTGGTTCATCAGAGAGTAAATCCCTAGTCTACTGCTGTGATGGAAATAAGGGTAAGGATGGATTATAGTTGCTTTGCTGTGTGGTGAATGGAGAGGGTCTGGGATCTCCAATGAGACTATATTGCCTTGAAGTAAAGACTCAGCAAATGCTCCTTGGTTGACTGATCTTGTCTTTTAGCATAGTGGACTTATTGCTGGGCTAAGGTGCAGACATTTATTAAAAAAGGAGTAGAAGCAAAAAGCAAGAAAATATGATACTGTTACAATGAAAGTTATTAAAATTGTTAGTTCCTTAAAATTACTAACTGCAACTCATTAGTTATTGTGAATATAGGATTTCCTCACAAAGCCTTTTTTCAAGAAACATTATGGAATTTATACCTATAATATTTAAAACTCTGCTGTCATAAGCAGAAATACTGAAATCTTAAATAGATAATCACTGAAATGAACCTGCTTAGTTTTTACATGTAGAATTCTAAATATTCCTGTCAAAGGACTTAGAAATTTAAGAAATTCTTTAGCAGAACAATTTCATTTCCCTGAATAGCTCATCGTTTTTCTTCTGGGGTTTTTCATGTAGGCTATTTAGGTGAATGTTAAAAGTGTGAATGGAAATATTTTGTACCCATTATGTTACAGATTGGCATCTTCAGAAGATAACAGATATTGCCAAGTCTATCGCTAATCAAGTTTTATAATTTACAACCTGTGCACACTGCGGGCTGAGAACCACAGCAGTTGTGCTGAGCATTTCTGGGAAGTTACCATCATCCCAGCACCAATTATTAAAAACTCTTACACACATTAAAGCTATAAAGATTAAAAATATAGCACACTTGTCATTAAATATGGATGACTTCATGTAATATGCATTATATACAAAAACAATGTTCTGCCACTTGAGCTTTTTCACTACCCTACGGAAAATCCACAAACCCAGCGTCCCACATCAAAGCTCATTTTGGCAAAGCCAAGGAATGACTTCGTCATACAAAATAAACACAGATGTTCCACACTTAGGCAACTGGCTAAGAGAGATGGTGCATAGGGGATGCACAGCTCTGTGAAAGATAATGCCTTCTTAATACCCTACAGCAGCATTTTCTGTGGAAGCTGCAAACATTGCTTTAAAGGACTGATTCTTATGTTATAAAAAATTCTCTTTCCTGTCTATAGCTGTGAACACATTAATCTAGTCCTGTCTGCATGTATGCAGAAGTATATGCACATTGTCTGAGGATGCTGGTTTGCTTTTTTTGAGCTAAAGACAACTTTCACATTCATCTTAAGCAGTGCCTTTTTTGCTGTTGATTTATTGATATCTGTCTATAAGGTAAAAGATTAATAACCATATTAATAAGATGGTCTACTAGCCTCTTGCATTAGCTGGTAGTTAATGCTGGATAGTTCAAATGACAGACAGCTATAGTGACTTCCCTTTGTTCCTTTCATTTTCAGCTAATTGCCGTAGAATATCTCTGCTAAACAAATATTCCTGGGACTCAAATGTATTTCCCCCAGAAACAAAAATAGAGTTGCAAAAGATTAATAAAAAAACACATGTTTGGGATATCTGATATGTAGCCTAGAATTGCATTGACATTCAGTTATGGCCTATTTAAAATACCTACTCAAAATAGAGTTTCCCTACTTTCCCCATACTGTCATGTGATTGGGAAGGATAGGATAAGGTCAAACTGGAAAGAGAAGAATAAGATTTGGGGTTATTATGATGTTGTAACTATATACTTTTTGTGAACACCTCTGTCTTGAAATAGTTTTATCTGAAATCTACCCAAATCCCATGGAGTAGGGGAGTGTTAGAAGACCAGTGCAATCTCTCTATGTTGTGCCAGCAATATTATCTTAGTTACAATGGTGAGTTTATCCTAGTAGTCTTATTCAAGTTAGTAGGAAAAATTTGTAAAAAGTATCTTAAGAAATAAGTAATCTCTTGAGAAGACCAAGATTCTTGTCTGTCATCTACTACCATCTTATATTTTAAGTATCATGCCTTAGGTGTAACAAGAAGATAATAAACTGGGTCCCATTTGCCTTTCATGTGACCCATCTGCCTTTCATGCTGCAAGTACTTGCATTCTTTCCTACTCTCTTAATTGCAATGTCCTTCACACTTTTCTAAGGATGCATTCTTATCAACATTTTGAATATAAACCTCAAATATAAATTTATCGTTTTATGCCTTACTGCAATAATTGATATATCATAAAGTATATTCAAAAATAAAAGTCAAACACAGATGAGGCAAGGATAACATTTTAAGACAATTCTAACTTTATTTCTTGATTTAAAAGCCCTCTTTTTTTCAATTTATTTTGGGCTAAAGTGATTATAAGACAGAGCCATGTGATCAATGTGACTATGCTTTACAAATCTGGCTTAATCTTCACAATACAGCAATATAAGGATCTGGTTCTAAGTATAATTTATTTTTCTTACTTGGTCATAATAACTCCCATAGTTGAAAAGATACTTTATGGAAATATAGTGAGCCAAATGGGAGGGCATTTTTGTTGTGATTAATAAATCATGATGCTTCACGTGTCGCGCAGGCTGGATTGTGGGTCTCGTTGCTGCGGCGCGGCAGCGGAGTGCTTAACTGCGGCAGTCGCAGTCATGGCAGGACAGGCATTTAGAAAGTTTCTTCCCCTCTTTGACCGAGTACTAGTTGAAAGGAGTGCTGCTGAAACTGTAACCAAGGGAGGCATAATGCTTCCAGAAAAATCTCAAGGAAAAGTGTTGCAAGCAACCGTAGTAGCTGTTGGATCGGGCTCCAAAGGAAAGGGTGGAGAGATTCAACCAGTTAGCGTGAAAGTTAGAGATAAAGTTCTTCTCCCAGAATATGGAGGCACCAAAGTAGTTTTAGATGACAAGGATTATTTCTTATTTAGAGATGGTGACATTCTTGGAAAGTATATAGACTGAAATCACTGTTGAAATGGCATGACATGAAGCTGCTCATTCCACTGAAGTTCTGAAATATTTCATTATGTAAATAATTTCCATGTCTTTTATAATAAACTAATAATATCCAACCTAAAAAAAATAAATAAATCATGATAGTTATTTTAAAAAACCTCAACAAAAAAAGCAAATTGGGTAAGGCCTATTTTTCTCAAAATTTGGTAGATTTTCACCTTCCCTGCTGTCAATTAGTTTTCCTTGCAAATGAATAAGAGCTTACTGCATTAATCTTAACAAATTGCTTCAATCCACTGAAAAATTTTATTTTTGAGTTTTTAGCATGCACAGATTTGAAAATTTTATATAAGTTTATTTATTTTAGGGTAAAAAATATCACTTAATACTGGGAACATTTCCAAATACCAGTTTTCAAGATGCCCTCTCCATAATCCAAGTTATTTTCTCCCTTATTATTAAAGTGTTACTTTTACCTTGAAGAGGACATATTAATATTTTCCCCAAAATATCTGTTAGGTATCATACTCCTGTCAACCACTTGTCATCATAGAAAAGTTCAGTAAATTTGGAATACTTTACTATTCATAAAAGAAAAATGGGTAACCCATATTTTAATTCCGACAACTGTTCTTACTTTACCATGACAGAATCACTCTAGATGTCTTCTGCTTATGGAATAACTATATTATGAAATACTCCAGTATTTTCTATTTCTCATATAAACTTCTTTTCTGTAATAGTTCTGTAAAGATCATATAATGAATAAATTTCACAAATGATTAATGTAATCCTAGAATTCTGCTTTAAAATCTCTTTGGAGCCATTGCTCAGAGTTTGGACCTCCAAAGTTGGGCTTACATCAAATACTATGTTTAGAAATACATATTTTTTTGTTTGTCTTGTTTGGTTTCTTTGTTTTTATCATGGACACCTTTACTCACACTTTTTTTGTTTTTTTTCTGTTATATTTGTAAAATTAACAGCCTGATGTGTGGCCTTCAGCATTTTCATTTTTATTAAAAAATCATTACTGTTAAACTACATCTCTTATGACATAACTTTTCTTAAGTGACTCATAAAATAGTTATTTGTTTATTTCAGTACTGAAGTAGAATCTGGAAAACACCACGAGCTGAGACACTATCTTTGGGCAGGTGATTGTTAGAAAAGGTAACCTGAATAAAATTCCCTTTCCTTCTACTTTAATATTCAGCTCTTTTGTCTCTTTGGTAGTGGGAACCTACGGACAGCTGGGAGTAAGTCCTAAGGCTCTGTTCAGGTCCTGTCAGAAGGAAAAGAAATTCTGGTAATGAGCTTTCCCTCTCTTTCTATCTGTACTCCATGGGCCCCTCCAGGGACCTCAGCAGGTCTGACCAGCCTTTCAGCTTCTAAAATCCAGGGTCATTTAGTTAGAGATCTTCTGGGACATTCATGCCCTTTAGGATATTTCTGAAAATAGAAGTAAACACCATTATTCTGATAAATAAAAATAACAAACGTTCTAAGTGGTTCAGCAGTCTGAGAAAGAGTGGAGTCCAAATAATCAGGATCAGGCCCAGTGAAAGAACATCTTAGGGACACAGAGAAATATGTGAATCTTTTTTAAAATGAAAAACAACAATAAGAGAAGTCAAGGAGATTTGAGTATAGCACACACACAGGCACTTCCTCCTCCCTCAAATTACCTGAAGCTTAGAAAAAGTCTTAAACTAAAAATTTGCTAGATGAATTAAAGGAGAAAATGGTCCCTGTTGATATTTGTATTTATTATGTTGTTATCTACAAAGAAAATAGCAATATATTTCAAGAAGTAGAAATTATGCAGGCCACTCTCTGATCATAATTCAATACCATTACAAATTAAAATTAAACAGTGAAAAAAGTCTTCCCTACATAAGGTTTAAGAAACATACTTAAGTCAAAGAACACCCCCAAAAAATTCAGCTCTAAATATAAGGAAAATATTAATATGAGAATATATGTAAAAAAATTATATTCATAGGAATATTTATACCTTCATTATTAAAAATGAATGGCCAAAAGGGAAGAAACTTAGCACATTAGAAGTAGAAAAAGCACTGCAAACATGTCAAAAGAAACTAGAAAGATGGAATTATTAAAGATAAATGCTGAAATTATTTCAATTAAAACTCAAGAAATAGTAGAAATAAATAATCTCCAAATACAGTTCTTTGAAAAAGATTATGAAAGAATTACCTCCAAAGGAAAGGTGAAAGAATAGAAGAAAAAACACTAGAATGAGGAAAGAGATATAATCGTAAGTGTAGAAATGATTTTTTAAGTGTGATTATTTTTTTATAATTTGGGTCAGTCATTAGATTATTAGTCTTTCTTCCACATAAGGTGGCTGATAAAGGGTACCAAGAGTACCAAGATACCAAGATACCAAGAGTAAAAATGGCCCATAGTGATATTCTAGAATTCTTCTCTTATTCTCTCCTAATCCTACTCCAACCAAGTTTTTGCTCCACCGCATCATTGAAACTCCTTTTATCAACATTACCATACCTCTATATTGTGAAATCTAATATTCAGTTTTCAGTCTGTATTTTTTGACCTGTTGGCAAGACTTAATACAGTGAATCATATCCTTCTCCTTGAAAAACTTCCTTTCATGAGTTCTAAGACCCCCCATCTCCCCAGCCATCCTCTTACTTCACTCACCATTCCTTCTCAGCTCCTTTAAAAAGTCCCTTCTTATCTCCCTATTCTCTTTCTGTTTAAATGTCCTTGATCCACTTGTCTTTGCTACCTCGACCAACTTCGTGGCTTTAAAAACCATCCAACTTTCCACATCCAATCTACTAATTCACATATACATACAGAAAATATAATCCTAATCTACTTGCTGTCTTCCCCATTTCTATCCTTCCAGTTGCTCAGATACAAAATGTTGGCCCTGCCCTCAACTCCTGCCATCCTATGTCCAATTTAACAGGAAATCCTATTATACTTTCAAATTATTCCCAGAAACACTTATCTACTGCTGGAAGATAGAACAATAGAAGTTACCCAATGTGAACAACAGAAAGAAAATGGACTGAAAAAAAAAATGAAAAAGACCTAAGGGACCTGGGTGATTAAAATGAAAGGTCTAATGTTCATGTCATCTGAGTCCTGGAAGGAATGGGAAAAGAGAGCGAGTGGTAAAAGTATATGAAGATATAATGGCTGAAAACTTACCAAATGGCTAAAACATAAATTTACACCTGAGTGAAAGCCATACAGGATAAATCCAAGAGATTCACACCAAGACATTGTAATTAAGATTTTGAAGATTTAAGAGAAAGAAAAAAATATTAAATGCAGTGAGAGGGAAATGTCACCTTACCATTAGGAGGAAAGCAATGAAAAAGACAGTATTTCTCATCAGAAACCATGGAGGCCAGAAGTAGACATTTAAATACCATATGACCCAACAATTGTACCATCAGGCATTTATCTCAGATAAATGAGTACTTATACTTACACAGATATTTGTAGCTTTATTTTTAGTAGACAAAAAGTAGATATAACTCAGATGTCATTCAATGGGTGAATGGTTAAACAAATGTGGTATATCCATGCTTTGGAATATTATTCAACAATAAAAATGAATGCAGTATTGATACATGCAACCTGGATGAATCTTCCAGAGAATTGTCCTGAGTGAAAAAAACCAATCCCAAAAGGTTACATACCATTTGATTCCATTTATGTAGCATTCTTGAGATGATAAAAATATAGAAATGGATAAAAATTGGTGGTTGCCAGGGATAAAGGAGTAGGTAGCTTGGGAAGAAGTAGTTGTGTCTGTAAAAGGGCAAAATGAGGGGTCCCTGTGATCATAGAAATATTCTGTATTTTGACAAATCAATCTCAATATCCTGGTTGTGTTATTATACTGTAGTGTTACAAAATGTAATTGGAGAAAGTATTATTTATTACAACCTTACATGAAATGTAATTATGTCAAAATAAAAAGCTTAATTATAAAAAACAAGTTCGGAAACAAGCAGAGCAAACAAACTCATGTGTTCTTTCGAAATGTATGTTTTTTTATTACAGTGTATAATAATATTGCTCAGCTGGTAAAAGAGCAGTCAGAACTCACAAATACCATAAACAATTGCTAGGGATATAATTAACCATAGTTCATTAATTGTACATAATGCAAGGCACAAGGTATTTTATTCCCCTGATCTTCTGATCAACTGATTATTCCTCAGAAAGTAGAAAAATGGTCACTGGGATAAGTAACAGAGTTTAAACCATAGATAACTCATTAATCTCAAATCTCTGTATGAAAGATTCTATGTAAGTAATTTGGAGTCTTAAGGCCTAATCAAGTGGCATTTAATGATATAGTTCTTCTCAGCTGAGACACAATTCAAAAGTAGTTTGTTGTAGGTATGAGGGGCACTGACAAAAAAAGTCTTTTCTGCTTACAGTTGTAAATAGTTATAACTGGGGATTTTTAAACTCTCTAAGCGTTTTCTTTGAAGCTTTATTTGGTAGAACCAAGTGGTTTCGGAGTGTGGAGTGTGCCATCTCTTCCTCCTGTCACAGCCCTGAGAATTGCTGTGGGGCTTATGCCACCGTGTAATCACCAATGACGCTTACAGGAAGTATAATCATAGTGTGGCTCCCTCCTTCCTCCTTTCATCATCAGGCAGCATGCAATAGCACTTGGGCTATTTCTACCTTCACACTTTTATAGTTGAGTGTTATAAAGTTCCCCTTTTCACTAAATATTTCAGGGAAATAAATATTTCAACTATAACTAATACCCTGCAACAGTTGTTTTTTTTATTAGCTATTCCTGGACCTGACCTTGTGCCACACTAAGCTCCCAACATCTGCACCTTACATTTTGGCCCCACGTACAACAGGTTGTAAGTAGCTTGTTTTCGGTTCTGTGTTTTAGCAACTACTGTGTCCTCACCACTTATTATAGTAACTCCTTAGATAAGAGCCGAGTAAACATTGTTGGGATGCATGCAAAATATCATGGCAAACCAAAAGAAC